CATAAAGAAGTTGCCACATTTTTGCTACAGCATCTCTGGGATACCTAGGAAAACTTGAATTGCTAGCTCTCATGCTTCACCTGAAAATCATGTCTTCGTTGTGAACTTATTACGCCTTCCACCCCCAGGCCTAAATGCTATTTAAATGCTTTTTCTTTATTTTTACAGCATAGAATAAAAGTATAATTTAAATCTTTCTGGCTCTTGAAATATGCTGGTAGTTTCTTCTAATCAGGCAGACATATTTATGTGTTCCTATCTACAGCACACCAGAAAAAGCTTTAACATACCTCCTATATCAGGTCGCAGTTTATTGTCATATCCTTCCAGCAGGTTGTTTAAGATGACAGTGACATCGCCCTCAGGAACTTTTGGAGTCAAGACCCATGTTTTGTTAGAAGCATAATCTTCATAGTCATCATCAGATTTTTGGCTAGTAAAGCTAAGAAACCAAAAATATTGGTCAAGAAACACATAGATTATACCCAAGATGGCTTTTACTCACAGACCCCTGGTGAAAAAGAAGAAAGCAAGTGGGATTGCAGGAACCTATAAAACAGTGAAAGTTCTCATCTGATAGTCTAAATAATTAGACAGCACAGAGAAAGGTTAAAATGTATGAAAATATATTCTCCAGTTTTCCAGAATGTTCTACTCTCCCATCTATAAATATACCACGTTGTGGCAGTTACTTTTGCCTTTCCCATATTTGATGTTTTTCCTACCAACTTGCCCAGCCTCCTAAAGAATGTATCGGGAAAAAAAAAAAAAAAACTGTTTTCGTGAAAGTGATGCTTAAATCATAATGTGGTCTAAGAATTCAGGCATAATGTCTATTTCGCCCTCCTTTGAGAAGTTAACTGGCTCCAACCTATTAATGAAAGTAAGAGACTGATAATTAGATTCACTCCCACAAACCGCTAGACGTGCCTCTCTCCCCTCAATTGAACTACTTAGGAGAGCTCAGTCTTGCTGCTTTTGCTTCCCCCGGGGAGTGTGTATGTGTATTTTTTTTTTCCTCACTTGCACTGAAGACAAGGGCGGTTCATTTATCTTCGGTAGTTAAGAACCCGGTACTATGAAGAAAAATGTAGTTGCAGATTTTAAACCACCTTTATTACAGCAGAAGTTCCAAAGCTGGAAACTCATACCAATGGTTAATGTACTACAATCATAAAAATAAAATGACCTATTTGACTGATCAAAAAGTCACATAATATCTTGTGATTCAGTTTTATATATATCCAAACTCCACCACACACACCATTGGGCTGGAAGCTAACCGAAATTGACTTTGGAAGGGGATTGGAATTCCTATCGCTTACATTTTCCCCTGCCCCAAATTCCACCCCCTCCCCTTTCACGCAAGATAATTAAAGTTTCCAGATCTAGGGGCAATGCAAACCCTTGTGATAGCTGCCATTTCCATTCTTACCAACATCTGGTGGTTTAGGATGAAACAGAAAAAAAATGTAACATTAAAATACAAAATGTTCCACCCCATCCCCATCTTCAGTTTATTTTCCTACATATATGATATACGATGGATCTCGTCAGATATCAAATAATTGCCCATTACCATTAATATACATAAATTCCCAAACCAGATTTATCACCTTTCTTCATACATGCTCAGTCATCAAATATATACACACATGTAATGTAGCAATGTCTTATGTATATATGTACATATAATTGTGTGTGCATGTGAATGTATTTATGTATGTCTATATCTTGAAGACTAAATATTGTAAAAGAAAAATGATTATGTGATTAATCTGGTTTGAAAGTAAGGATGAAAGATGAGGTTCTAAGAATAATCACTGGAATGGATCCACTTAGTAAGTGAGTAGAATAACCTCCTGTTTTTTATTCCTTTAAAGCTGTATGAATAGGAGACTCATTAAAAACACATCTACAAAAACCTGACAGAGCCAGCATCTTATATCTCGCATTTTTAGTGGGCATAGGAAAGTTAAACAAGCATTAATTTCATAGAGTGGCCATAGTGGGTATGATGGGCTGGATAATGCTTCAACCAATTCCCAAAGAGAAAAGCCTCAGTGCAAGCACAGAGACCAGTTACTTGCTGGGAAAATCCCTATTAGGCCTCAATTTATCATTTCTCCAGGGCACTGCTGAACTCTGCCTAACAGCGCTCTAATCCTGTGACCCAAATCATCTTAGTAGTTTAGGGGGAAAAAAAGAAAAAAAAGAATAAAAGGTCCCTGGCAAAGAAAGAATTTTTCAAATCAAACCCCTCCCATAACTCATTGAGAAAAGAATATGGTTGGCCCATCCGATGTCATAATGAAATTTATTATGGAGTTTAAATTGTTTTTCAAAAGTGCCTTTTCAAAAAATTTCTATCTTGCTCTCTCTCTGTCAGACATCTGTACCTTAAATTTTCTTCAAGGGAAGGAAAATGTGCATTAAATCATTTGGTTTGCTTGTTTATGGTGCCTCATCACAGTAACTAATAAATGATCCTGACGTGATGGTGCTATATTACTGTTATTGCTATTATCTGGCAGGCCAGGAGTAAAAATACATTAAGCAAAATGATAAGGGATACTTAGAAGGAATGCCACTTTCCATAACTGCGTCAATAATTCTCTCAGAATCATCACCTGGTAGATGCCAAAAGAATAGTCAAATTGGTTATTTCATATAAAAGTGTGGGTGAAAGATTTATTCACACTTCAGGATGTCTACTTAGCCATAGAGTGGTAAAATAGAGTAGAGAAATTAAGAGCATATACTCGGGAGTGAGGACGTACTATGTATGCTTTCTGGATTCATGTCTTGTGTCTTTTACTTACTGTTTTATTACCTTGGACAAGTCATTTAACCTTACTAAGCCTCAAAGTTCTCATTTTTAAAATAGAGTTAATACTAGTACTTACACAACATTCTTATGTAAGGTTAAGACGATGCTTATCAAGTGCTTTCTTAGCACAGCGCCTGACACATAGTCCGAGAAACAGATCCATTATAATTATTGTTCTAAAGTGACTACTGCTAGATTTATAATAACAGCTCCAACTATGTAACTAAAACCTAAACCTACAGATGCAGTTTTAAGGCTTTTATCTAATACGGACTGAGGAAAACTAAAAACAGATGTTTTCCAGAAAGAAAGATAACAAGCCCTTACATTATAAATATATATTTTATTCTTTACAACTTTCCTAACTGAAGTCTAAATTAAAGGGGCTGATGCATAATCTGGGATTGTTTCCAGATTTG